AATAAACCAGTTTTATTTAAGAAAGGACTCGTATCGGTAAAGATTCTTTGGTAAGAGTTTTAATGGAAAATTAATTAACGAACGGAGACATAACAGTGGGTTCCTTGTCATCGAATACATTGTAGGTCAGTCTTCACAACTAAAAAAACTGGGGCTTGAAAGAAAGTCTTTGAGCGATTGATATGCTCTGATATGACCAAGGTCAAAGGCCACAATAGACAAACCTTTCTCCATAAGGTACATTGGAATCCACCATTAGAGTTTCCTCAAACTCTCATGTTGATGCTGCCTTGTCCACATTAGGTGACATGGGGGAGGGGGATATACTGAAAACTACACATCAGCCTGGACCACACTGGTACACTAAAAACAGACTATCAGAGTTGGGAGTAGGACAAAAGCTGTCATCTATTTAGTAATTAAGTCCAAGACCCCTTAGAGTCCCAGGATCTAGCAAGGCAAAAATTTCTATGATGACCTCAGGAGAGAGGAAGAATGGGTGAGGGATATTCACACAGGCCAGGAGATTTGTAATTTGGAGGTCAGAGGATAAAGATAATATTGAACGACTCAAACTTTTTGAACACTGTTTTCCATAAACAATATTATGCTATATTTTATAAATGTAATACAATATTTTAAACATAAACTTCAATATTTTGAAGTTATCAACTTTGTAACAGACTAAAAAAAAAAATAGAGTTTATTAAAATTTGACAACCACAGAAATCCAAAACAAAACTTTCAAACAGTTGGAATATAAAGTTTATCATTTACCAAAAAACACACTTATGAATGTAACAACAATAAAGAAATTAGGAAAAAGAACCAGAAGATGAAAAAACCTAATTCCATAAAAACAACACAATATTCCAAATTTAAACAACTTTAAGACAAATAACAATATTGAGTAACCATGAACAATAATTATGTTTTAACTATATCTTGTGAACTAACTCGTTCAAACTCAAGGCAGGGTTTTTATTTAGTTTTTCTTCATAACCCATTCAATCCATCTCCAAGTATTTATAGTCTCAAAGTGGGTTCCTCGTCATCGAATTAGAAAATACTATTGTTTATTTCAGTACAACATATTTATAGCTACAGCTATCTTTGCTGCTGGAGGATTGTATGCTGACCTAGTCAAGTGACCCAGTTGAATATTTAACTTGGGTGAGAAAAACTTGGTTGTTCCCTTGACTGAGTTTCTAGTTTGGGAGCTAAACACACTAAAAAAATGAAATTTTGAAAAATACTGCATATCAGTTAGGGTGTATAAAGAACACAATATGCTTGCATATCACATTATGTTATAAATCCTGATGAGAGAGAAGTTATGACATAATATGGACTGTTGTTATAAATACTTTAGAGTTTCATCTTAATAACACTTACGACCAACCATTATGTATGGATTATGTATAATTTCTGAACTATAATAATATATAGTTTTTTATTGTGTCTACTACTTTCAGTACAAATGATGGTTTTATGACTACATATTGTGAAGTTTGATGGGTTTTTTATACTTCCATTATATTTAATATTAATAGGGATTATAACATGAATCTGTAAGAATATTGGGGTGAATGAACTTACATTTGTAATATTTTATTTGTTTCATTTAGATCAGGTTTGAGAGCCGGGTGTGTTCTTTTACCTCTGTTGGGAATCACTTGGATGTTTGGTATTTTAACTATGGATCATTCCACACTATTCTTCACATACTTGTTTTGTTTGATAAACTCACTTCAGGTAATTACATTATTTTTCCATGTCTGACAATAAAGAGTGATACTATATGAGAATAGAGTAACCTATAATGTATCTTAGAAATTTAAATATTTTCTCAAAGAGTTAAATACTGCTTTTAAAATTTATTTCAAAAGTGCATTACAGTGTTTCAAACTCTGTAGAACACTTACAAGAGATATATTAAGAACGTGTATATGTCAAACATATATACAGTGGTCATTAAGTCCTTTGCAGTGTCATAGCTGGAAAACAGTAGAAACATCTGAATGTGAAAAATGGAGAACATGTTTATCAGCACATGGATGACAAGAGAACATGGGCATCTGCAGAAATTTTTCCTGTAAGGGCAAATTCAAAATCAAAAGATGATGGACCCACAGTCAAAGTTGATGGTTTAATATTTGTAGGGTTAGTTTAAGGCATACTGCAGACTTGCATCTATATATATATTCCATATTAGTAAATTTTGGTTTGTTCTTTTAAGTTCTTAACCCTAATGGGTAATTTCACCTTATATAAAACAACTCCTTTTATGAATACAGTAATCTGAAGTTACATAAAGGACAATACTTCAATGGCATTTCTTGTGTATGTATGGTAAGAAGAACATTTAAGGTTAATATACCTTAATCTACACATTGCTAATAGACCTTAATCTACACATTTATTTACTGTGTATTGTAAGATCAACATTTAAGGCTAATAGACCTTAATCTACACATTCATTTACTCTGTATGTATTGTAAGATCAACATTTAGGGCTAATAGATCTTAATCTACACATTCATTTACTGTGTATGTATTGTAAGATCAACATTTAAGGCTAATAGATCTTAATCTACACATTCATTTACTGTGTATGTATTGTAAGATCAACATTTATGGCTAATATATCTTAATCTACACATTCATTTACTCTGTATGTATTGTAAGATCAACATTTAAGACTAATAGACCTTAATCTACACATCCATTTACTGTGTATGGTAAGAACAACATTTAAGGCTAATAGACCTTAATCTACACATCCATTTACTGTGTATGGTAAGAACAACATTTAAGGCTAATAGACCTTAATCCACACATTCATTTATTGTGTATGTATTGTAAGAAGAAACATGTTTAATATCCAAGAAGCCACCATGGTAGCAGCATTTTTCAATATTCAGTTACAGGGTAAGTATCTACAGATTTTAAGTAGAGCTGCTATCAAACCTGGCAACTTTTATTAGAATGGAAAATTAAGTGTAATAAGCAGTGTGAAATTGTAAAGTGAATAAAAAACTTGTAAGTTCATATACATATGATGAATGAATAAAAAAAGAATTATGTTTATCATTTTCAGGGGGGTAACAATTATCTGAAACTGTCCATGCAAGAGAAGCCACTAGGGGCATAATTGTAGGCAAAATTTTCATAATTAATCAGATGAAAATAAACAGGTTGGCTTAAAGAACTGTCAGTATGAGTGAATGAGATCTGGAAGATTACTGGGTTGGTATTCAATCGCTGAAGGACACAACCCTAGATGAAGTTTTTTGCATTTTTCAGGACATTTTGCTATTCGCTGTTTTCAACATTGTTCTTAAACTGAAGATTATAATTGAGAATGAGGGAGGGCACATTTAACATGTAATATATAAATATGTCCCTGGTAGTAATATTGATGTAATATATAAATATGTCTCTGGTAGTAATATTGATGTAATATATAAATATGTCCCTGGTAGTAATATTGATGTAATATATATAAATATGTCTCTGGTAGTAATATTGATGTAATATATAAATATGTCTCTGGTAGTAATATTGATGTAATATATAAATATGTCTCTTGTAGTAATATTGATTAATTTCTTACTGTCAGCTCA